CAAATATTATTAGGGGACTGGAGGCTAAAACATATGAAAAATGGTTGCAGGAACTGTGTATGTCTAGTTTAATGAAAAGAAGGACTAGGGGAGACATGATAGCAGTGTTCCAATATCTCAGGGACTGCCACAAAGAAGAGGGAGTCAAACTATTCTCCAAAACACCTGAGGGTAGGACAAGAAACAACGGGTGAAAACTAATCAAGGAGAGAAGCAACCTAGAACTAAGGAGAAATTTCCTGACAGTTAGAAAAATTAATCAGTGGAACAACTTTCCTCCAGAAGTAGTGAATGCTCCAACACTGGAAGTTTTTAAGAAGAGGTTGGATAACCATTTGTCTGAAGTGGTGTAGGGTTTCCTGCCTAAGCAGGGGGTTGGACTAGAAGACCTCCAAGGTCCCTTCCAACTCTGTTATTCTGTTCTGTTCTGTTCTGTTCTGTTCTAGTATTCACCAGGGTGCTTGATATCTGCAGTCATTGGGAACAAACAGTGATATGCACAACATGAATTTTTGCCCTCTCATAATTTCTTCTTCAGCTAATGATTATGGGACTGGAGGCTAAAACATAAAAAGAATGGTGGCAGGAACTGGGTATGTGTAGTTTGATGAAAAGAAGGACTAGGGGTGACATGATAGCAGTGTTCCAATATCTGAGGGGCTGCCATAGAGAAGAGGGAGTCAAACTATTCTCCAAAGCACCTGAGGACAGGACAAGAAGCAATGGGTGGAAACTAATCAAGGAGAGAAGCAACCTAGAACTAAGGAAAAATTAATGCAAGTTAGCAGTGAACAATACAACCAATTCTTTCTTTACTATTTATTTGTTAAATTTCTTTGTCACCTATCTTGCCGTAAGGCTATTCTTGGCAGCTTACAACAATAAAAAGGAAAAAAATGAAAAGAGCGTGAACAGAAATAAGACAATAGAGCAATAAAATAAACAATGATTTAAAAAACACAAGAAAAATAATTATATGAAAAAAAAGACAAGTAGAGAGCAGAGAATGGGTTATGGGGGAGGGAGAGAAAGAATCTGCCATCCATCCAGCAGCCAAATGGAATTTTCCCAAGTAATCCCCATAGATGATTAATTCTTGACTTTAATCATTTACAATGGGGAAATGGAGGATTGAAGAGCTTGGATTTGTTTTGTTTTGTTTGAGGTTCAGGCTGGCTTCCTGGCGTCTGAAGAACTCTCAGAAGGCAAGGAGAATCCAAGAAATCAATTCACATGTTCTCCAGGCAGCCAGAGCTTGTGAGAAGAATGCAAAACAGGATTTTTTGCAATCATCGGTTGAGTCACCAGCTGGAGGGTGGGGTTTCCATTCAAGTTCAACCACTGTGGTGTAGTACAATGTCTCAAATAAGGAACCAGTCATGGCAGCATTGCAGTCAGTTGATATATTTTATTTATTTAATAAAATTATAACCCTACTTTCTTCTAGGAGCTCAGGGTAAGACATATAGAGATCTCTCCCCATTTTTTTCCCTAAAATAACAACCTTGTGAAATAGGTTGGACTAACTAAAAGCTATGATACTTCCATGCTTGAATGGGGAATTAAAGCTTGGTTTTTCTGGTCTCAGCCTAGCCTAAAATATTGCAATAGGAAAGTACTTAATTATATTTTTTGCCATATTTTACCTCAAACATTAAACAGAGAAGGTAGGCGGTTTAGTTGCTCTTGATAGGTGTATTTCTGTTTTAATGAATCTTGCAATTAAAATGCAGTCATGTGGAAGGCAGTATCTTAGCCTCTACTATTTTCCCCAGTAGAGTAGGTCACCTTCTATGCTTATATGTGAAGAGTAGCCAGTTTCTTAGGTTAGATTAAAAAAAAAATTAAACCCACTCAGCTAACCCCAAATTTGAATATATCTTGTTCACTTTCCCAAAAATAAATAAAAGCAAGTTCCAGAAATAATACCTCAGATTTAGTTTTTCCTCAGTGATCACTTTGATTGGTTGCTTCCAAGTTGACATTACCTTTGTATAGTATTTTCACAGAATTTAGATAAGAGGTGAGAGCCTTCTCATCTTTCCAGTCAGCATAGAACGGATAACTTGACAAATATTTTCTCCTGATGGTATAATAATAAATTCAAAATGTCACAGAACATTCTTGTCAAAAAGACATTCCACTCCAGAAGATACAGTTTTCTAAACCAAGAGAGAAAAGAAAAGGAAGCAGGTGGATTACTTCTATGTTTAATTTATTTTCCCTTTCTCCCACTTCTATACCTGTATTTTTGCATGTACACACACAAATATACACACACATTTTTTTAATGGTGATGACCAGATATCGTCAATAATACATACATGGAAAAGGGTCCATCTTATCTTATCTTTTATCTTATCTTATCTTATCTTATCTTATCTTATCTTATCTTATCTTATCTTATCTTATCTTATCTTATCTTATCATCTTATCTTATCTTATCTTATCTTATCTTATCATCTTATCTTATCTGCCTTCTCTGTGGCAGCACCTGCCCTCTGGAACGATTTGCCCCCGGAGATACGCATGATACCAGATCTCTAGGCTTTTTGCCGTGCCCTAAAAACTTTTCTTTTCCACCAAGCAGGGCTGGCGTAAACCCCCCTCCCCCTTTTGAGATGTTAGAATTTTAATTGTCTATGGGTTTTAGTTGGGAAGTTTTAAATTTTGGGCCAAAGTTGTGTAATTCTTTTTAAAAATTTTAAATTTTGTATTGGGATGTTTTTTATTTTGGCTGTGCACCGCCCTGAGTCCAGCAGGAGAAGGGCGGTATACAAATTTAATAAAAATAAATAAAAAAAATAAATCTCATCTTATCTTATCTTATCTTATCATCTTATCTTATCTTATCTTATCTTATCTTATCTTATCTTATTATAAATTGCATAATGCAATGTATGTTCATCCTTAAGATTCATCCTAAAATATGAATCTTTAGATCTGCTCAAAACATATTGTAATAAACATTAGCAGTTCAGCATCAACAAAATTTAATGAACTGGATTCTCACAGTCATTTTTTTCAAGGAAGCATCATAATAAGTTTGTTTTCCCAAAAATCATAAATATGGTATGCGCACCAAATCCTCTTAACATGTTTTCAAGAGTGCAGTTGGCATTGCATTTCAGTTTGGCATCGTTATGTAGCAGTTATAGAGTAGACAGTATTGGGCAGAGGCTCACATTTGATCCTTTTTACTTTGGAAATACAATAGTGCAAATTGAAAATTTCTGCAATACAACTCATAAACTTCTTTTTTCCTTTTGTTTCAGCTATCATTGAGACTTTGGCAGATAAGAACCCCTCATTTACTTATTAAAAAATCCCTTGGAAAGTAATTAATCCCAGTTCATTATTTTATCCTTCAAGTGTGCACCAACATGGCTTCCTTCCATGTACAGTTCAAACCTTACCCCATTACCTACCTAATAAAGTGGGAAAGAAGATAATCGCCACAGTCACTGTGGTAGCTAGCTAACATAAATCTCTAAATATGCTGGGGCTAGCTGTCCTGAGGTTTCTTGCATCAAGTGAGATTGAAAGTTGCACATCAGCCTGAGCCACTTAATTTATGATGCCTCGTGGAACTGATTGTCAGTTGTGGAACTGCCTGTCTTTTCTAAAGGGGACTTTTGCTTTTCCCCATCCCTCAGTGTCTCTGCCAACTTACAACTTTTCTGTTTGCATTTTACAGCTTTAAGCCAGAGGTTGATGCTTAAAATATTAATCTTTGTCCCCCATTTACTTTCTTTCCACTCTAGTTCCCAGGTGATGTAAATAACATCAGCTTACAAAAAAAAATGCAAACATACACACACAGGAGAGAGAAATTCTTGGTTTTGGGGTGGAGGGAAGTATAACAACAATATGGTCTCTTTTAATGGTTGATGTTAAATTCTAAAATGAAAAGTAAAGTTGCAAAAAAATAATAATAGTCAGTTAGATTTAAATGTTAGATTCATTATTTTTTTTAAAAAAATAAAGCAGATAATAGGAAGGGATGGTCTTGGCCAGGTAGAAGAATACATTTGTCGAGAGGAAGTCAGTGGAATTCCAAGAAAGGATATTAGAGCCACAGCACACAATGTTTTCTGATCAAGGTTTATAGTTGCCCTTTCACCTGGCCTGATGTGTATAATCCAAGTAGGAATGTCTAGGAAATATAAGTGGGTAGTGGGTATGAAACCAAATCCCATATTGAATTTAAATTCAATGAATATGATCAATACCCACACATGTAATGTTTTCTCCTTCTGTAAAATTAAAAACTACATTTTAGCAGCAATTTTACAAAGACCTCTGGTTGTATCTAGGCATTAGAGATTTTCTTGCCACCTTTGGTCATCACACATTACTAGTAATACTAGTACTGGTGTTTAAAAAGTTACTATATTTTGGGACTATGGTTGTGAAAATATAGTATCCAGATTGAGGAGAAAAAAACACAATTATTTGGCATTGATCTATCTACATGATAATGTTGGAGTTTATAAACATGTAAATCAGCATGTCTATACTTATGTCTATGTCTTTCTCAAGAAACACATTGAGAAATTGGTGTTTCAAAACCACGTCCTAGAAGCAAGCACTGAAGAAGCTGAGGTTTGTTAGCTTGGAAAATAAAAGCTTAAGAATAGATAACAATAGTGATTTTCAAATCATTCTCTGTTGCTTTAGAGAGCAAGTTTAACCCCGAGGAATATAAATGGCAGGGAAGCAGATTGCAGCTAAGCATAAAAAGAAATTTCCTCGCATTATGAGTTGTTTGATAGTTGGAACAAACTGCTTTGGAAGATGCTGAATCCTAAAGGCATGTAAGTAGAGGCCGGACAGTTACCTATCAGAGAAGCTATAATTGCATCCTGCATTACAGAACCACGGGCTACTATTTTGTCATGAACTGAATCTTCTGGGATGAAATGAATCACCACATGGAGCTTGTTTGTTAAAAATCCCCCCAAACGCTATGTTACAGCCAGCCTTTTTCTTCTTTGCAGGTTTTCCAAGGCAATGTCAATGCTGACAGTGTGGTCCAGCACAAATTCCTTCACTCTGTTAAAGCTCGCTTTGTACGCTTTGTGCCTGTGACATGGAACCCGAATGGAGATATTGGTCTGAGGGTTGAAGCTTTTGGATGCTCGTACAGTAAGTATTGAAATGTATCCTAGCGTATACCAGAAGCATCATCTTCTTTCTGCTGAACGTTTGGAGACAATTTTGACATTCAAGTTGTAAGGAAGCTACTACTGTGCAAGTTTACAGAGTATATCACAAGCTGGCCAGTTGGTCCCACCACTGATTTTAGCTTCAGTAGCAAATTTTGGTCAATCGCTGCCTTGTCTGTATATACTTTTCCTCCAGCATTTTTCTGGCCAATGTTTACTTTTTCCTCTATGTATTTACCAAAAGTACTATTACCTAGAACAGTGATGGCTAACCTTTTTGCCATCGCGTGCCAGGAGTGGGGGAGGGGGGTTGAGCGCATGCGTGCCCACACATATAATTCTATGCGTCCTGCCCCACGTGCATGCATGCGTGACCCCCCGCTCCCTCTCGCTCCTGGCACGTGATGGCCCAGTGGGCTCAGTAGAACTGTTTTTCTCCCCAGGCTCCAGAGACTTTCTAGGAGCTTGGAGAGGGTGAAAACAGCCTCCCACCCGCAGAGGCCCTCCGGAGGCCAGAAACGGCCCATTTGCCAACTTCTGGAAGGCCCATTTTTTGCTCTTCCCCAAGCTCCAGAGCCTTTCTAGGAGCTTGGGGAGGGCAAAAATGGCCTCCCCCCCCAGGCCCTCCGGAGGCCAGAAATGGCCCATTTGCTGACTTCCAGTGGACCCAGAAGGCCTGAAAATCAGCTGGCTGGCACGCGCATGTGCGCCAGTGCTGAGCTCACATGCCCACCGATATGGCTTCGCATGCCACGTGTGCCATAGGTTCGCCATCCCGGACCTAGAATGTCACCAATAGCTTTTTTACAAATAAATATTTTTAAATATTACTTTCTTTCACTACAGATAAAAAAGCTATATCAAACAAGTAGCCCTTGATTTATGATCACAATTGAGCCCAACATTTCTGTTGTTAAGTGAAATATTTGATCTGTGAATTTTGTCCCATTTTATGACCTTTCTTGCCACATTTGTTAAGTGAAGAATTGCAGTTGTTAAATTAGTAACATGGTTATTAAGGGAATCTGGCTTCCCCACTGACCTTGCTTCTCAGAAGGTTGCAAAAGGTGATCACATGACCCCAGGACATTGCAATGGTCATAAATATGAGTCAGTTGCCATGTATCTGAATTTTGATCATGAGGACACCTCAATGGCTGAAAGTATGAAAAACGGTCATAAGTCACTTTTTTCAGTGCCACTGTAACTTTGAAAGGTCACTAAATGAACTATTGTAAGTCGAGGACTACCTGTACTTACAAAATCTGCCACAATTTGTTTTAAGTAGAAGCATAGACAGCAATTTGTACAATGCCCCCAAATTATGTTCAGTCTTATTTGAAAAGAGACATCAATGGAAAACAGATTGGATTTGGAGCTCCTGTGATTTTCTGAACCATTCTGAGTCCAAAGTTCATCCCTTTTGTGGAGCTTTAGTAACGAACCAATATAAAGATTAAGTGGAACAGTTCATAAATTCTAGAATAACCATCATCAAATGTGCCAGTTTTCCATTGTTCCCTATGTAAGGAGAATTACATGGAGTTGCACTAAAAGGTGCAATATGTTCTGAATGATTAAATAGTTACAACTCTCTATTATAGTGGAGCTGTTCTCTGCCTGGGTGAAATATTTCTATTGAACATTTCTGGACCTGAAATTCTTGCCCGTAAGATTTTTGGAGTGCCTGCTGCCATTTGTGGGCATTCCAACCTCTAGTGCATTAGCCCAAAACGAAAAGTGATGAGCTAGACATGGGAATAAAATGAAAACCTGATTGTGAATTAATTAGAAGTGTTGTTGGATGACTGCCAAGAAGTAACCATTTGTTTAGGATCAAAGCCAGGAAAAGAGGCCTAGGAATTAAGTGTCTCATTAGCACACACAGGGTAAAATCAAAACCACAGGTTTCATTGGGTGCACCTCTCTAACTCATACCAGGTTTTTTTTTTTAAAATGCTATATAATTAGTTAGGAAATAAATTTCCAGGTACAATGTTTCTATAAGAAAAAAATGGAAACAGTGCAATTTTAGGGAGTTTTCCAAATGCTTATTATAAGGGACACAATGAAGTCTTATGTGCAACTTACAGTAAAAACTATTTCTCTTCAGCTTTAGAGTTCATTCATTCATTCGTTTGTTCTTATTTATATATTTGTTTGTTTGTTTGTTTGTTTATTTATTTGCTGCCCATTTTACCACAAGATAACTCTGGGTGGCTTACAATATAAATCAATTATTTACTTAGACCTACATATGAATCATTCTTTATACATAAGTCTCTGATTATTGTTCTCATGCTGCCTGAGCATAGGCAGAATTCAGTGGATACAGATATTTTCAAAGTATTTTAATGCAACTCCACTGATTTCAGCATTTAGACCAGATTCATATAATGCACTATCATAGTGTTCGATTTTTGGCTTGATGAGTTGTGTAACTCCAGGTACTGTAACATGTGAACAAAGGATAGTTTAATGGCTTAGGTCCCCGATCTTTCCGGCTCTGCGAACTGGCAGCGGTGGGTGAGCATGGGATACTGCAGTTGTGTGAAACCATACCCCACTTCTTGCTGCCGCTGCCTGTTTGCACAGCCAGAAAAATTGGGGACAGATGTATTAAAGATAAAGTTTCCCCTCGCACATACGCACTAGTCGTTCCCTACTCTAGGGGGTGATGCTCATCTCTGTTTCTAAGCCAAAGAGCCAGCGCTGTCTGATGATGATTCCATGGTCATGTGGCTAGCATGACTAAATGCCGAAGATGCACGGAACACTGTTACCTTCCCACCAAGGTGGTACCTATTTTTCTACTTGCATTTTTACATGCTTTCGAACTGCTAGGTTGGCAAAGCTAGGGCAAGTAACAGGAGCTCACTCCATCATGTGGCACTAGGGACTTGGACCGCTGAACTGCCGACCCAAGCTCAGCATCTTAGCCATTAAGTCACCTCGTCCCCTTTTTATACATTATTTAATTTTTGTAATACATCTAATGCAGATGTATTAGAGGTGGTCAATTTGGAAGCCTCTCTGATTTTGCTGAAGAAGCTGCCCATCCTGAAAGCACTTGTCACTATCTGAAGAGAACCTCTTCTAGTAGCGCTGGCCCCAAAAAATTCAAGTCCACCAAAACTGTTGCAGGGAGTAGCCTCTTTGCTTCGGTAATGTAAGTCTTATTGATTCTATGACCCATGTTGTTTTATCCAAGCAGATCCACATTTAATGCTACATAACTCTCTTATGCTGTGCTCTCCACCTGCCTATCTTTTTGGTTATAGACTATAATAATAGAGTTGGAAGGGACCTTGGAGGTCTTCTAGTCCAACCCCCTACCCAGGCAGGAAACCCTACACCACTTCAGACAAATGGTTATCCAATCTCTTCTTAAAAATTTCCAGTGTTGGAGCATTCACAACTTCTGGAGGCAAATCATTCCACTGATTAATTGTTCTAACTGTCAGAAAATTTCTCCTTAGTTCTAAGTTGCTTCTCTCCTTGATTAGTTTCTACCCACTGCTTCTTGTCCTACTCTCAGGTGTTTTGGAGAATAGTTTGACTCCCTCTTCTTTGTGGCAGCCCCTGAGATATTGGAACACTGGTATCATGTCTCCCCTAGTCCTTCTCTTCATTAAACTAGACATACCCAGTTCCTGCAACCATTCTTCATATGTTTTAGCCTCCAGTCCCTTAATCATCTTTGTTGCTCTTCTCTGTTATCATATTGATGTATTCTCAGTGTCTTCTTTTTCACTCTTTATTTTATTGTTCTATTATTTTACTTATGTTCTATTTATCTTCCTTTCATTTTCTTCCTTTTTATTACTCTAAGCCCCCTAGAGTAGCCCCATGGTGAGGTAAGTGGCAAATAAATGTAACAAATAAAATAAATAAATAATGGCGTAAAAAGCCACATGCCTCTCGGTTTGTTTATTATGGCAAAATATTGAGGCATAGGGTTAGAGATTATTCTCCATGTGAGCATAGAGGCACAATCCCTACCTGGTACCATCTCTTTTCATAGAACAATCTCTCAATTTTAAAACAAACAAACAAACAAAAAAAGGGTGGGAAGCTTAGTCAGTAAGATTATACATAATAAAGATGCATAAAGCACTTATTACCTGGTTCTGTATAGCAATCTGGGTATGATGACAAGATGAACAACCAGACTTATGTCAGATGACATCTGCAGATGAATGGAAAGTTGATTGTTCAGGATGCCAGGAAGGAAAACAGTTTATCTTATATTTCAAAAAGGTCTTGTTAGCATATCACCAGCAAATTCTGCTGACCAAGGGTATATATTTTTTTTGTTTTCTGTTTAAATAGAATGAGATTTATAGCCACACTTCAAATGCTGATTGTACTCTCCAAATAAATAATGGTCTAAAAAGGCTCGGTTCAGAAATAGATGAGCAATAGATGGAGGGGACAGAGGACAAAAAAAGAAACCCAATGATGGCTTGGCCATCCTTTCAGATCAAGAAGCCTCATTTCCCCTTGAGGACTGGTAGGGAGGGGACTAATGAGCAGCAGAGGATAAAAAATATATATATATCTTGCATTTTTTTTTTGACAAAACAATTATGCCAGCCTTCCTTCTCTCTCTCTCTCTCTCTCTCTCTCTCTCTCTCTCTCTCTCTCCCTCCCTCCCTCCCTCCCTCCCTCCCTTCCTCCCTCCCTCCCTCTCTCTTTCCTCCTTCACTGGCTTTGTCTTTCATGCCAGGAAGTAAAATTAATGTACTGGGGATAAATGCTTATGAACTGACACTTTAAGTCTTCAGAACACAGGTTAATAGAAAAATGAATGAAATAACTACCAAGATCAGGATAATTGCACAAGTATCTTAAGTAGCTCTTTGGCATAATAGGGGTCTCAGATGCTAAACTCGGTGACATTGCAAGGATGCCTTGCAGGTCATGGAATACAGCCTCTTTGGAGGAAGAGAAGAATAAAATGTGAATTAGCCCATCCAC